AGAAATAGTCCTAATTTTATGATGGTTCCTTAATATATTTTAACTACATTGCATTTGAGTATGGAGAGGCAACTATCTGGAAGTATTTTACATAAAAAATTTACTAAGTATTGCCCGGTTTGTAGTTGCAGTTAAAGAAAACACATGAAAAGGCACGATTTTTTTTAAATTCGAAAAAATGTAAATATTTCAAAAACGGTGACACTTTTACCTGAAAATTTTTTGTTTATCAGGGAGCTCACCCCCCCACCTACCTTCCCCTAAAGTTTGGCACGTTACTTATGGGACACCCTGTATATGTAGGTTAAGCCAATGTATTTTTTCTGGAGCTTTCTGATTCGATTTTTATATTTTGGTTAGGCTTGTGAACCTTGTTAATTGTGGTCTCTATTAGACTATCAATAAGTGTATTTGGGTAGCTATTTTTTCTCAATATTGTTTTAATTCTGTTTTTGTTTTCGTCAGTGAATTCTTCGTCGCTTAGAATATGTATTTTCCTAATGAGGCTGGCCGCGGTATTTACTTCTTGTTTCCAAGGGTGATTTGAAGTTTTGAAGTTTAACTTAAAAAACATTGCAAATATTAAACTAAAAACACCATGAACTCACTTTTGATTGCCAGTGTACATAAATTAATATTGTTATTCAGACATTCGATGGTCTACGAAATTACGTTCTCGAAAAATTTGTAGGACTTTTTATACCCGAGCGCACTTGTGCACAAGGGTATATTAATTTTGTTCACATAACGGTTGTTTGTAACAGCCAAAACGAGTCGAGATAGATATAGACAAATGTATACATATATGCTCAGAATGAATAGAGAAATCGATTAAGCCATGTCTGTCTGTCCGTCTGTCCGTCCGTCCGTGTACACGATAACTCGAGTAAAAATTAAGATATCTCAACAAAATTTGGTATGTAGGTTTCTTTTAATCCAAGGTAGGTTGGTATTGAAAATGGGCGAAATCGGACAGTAACCACGTCCACTTCCCATATAACGGTAATTTCCAGAAATACGAAAACTGCGATATTTTAGTAACTACTGAAGATAATTGACTCAAAATTGATATTTGTGATAACTTTCAGACGAAAAATAAGAATATTATAAATTTTTGGAAAATGGGCGTAGCGCACCCCCTAAATAATGATCAGCGCTCTCTGACCTCATGTGTGTTTCACATACGAAGAGCGCCAGCTAAGCAATGCACACAGTCCCACTTATTGAATCGTTTGAATGCGCTAGTATGCCGACCATTCATAAAAACGATTCAATGAATGAGACTGTGTGCGTGGAAATCATTGCTCCGCTACCGCTGTTCGTATACGGGTGAAACACGCGTGTGGTTACAGAGCGCTCAGTAAGCTATGGCATGTCGATCACTGCGCTGGGTAGAGAAAGAAAAGTGTGTGCTATGTATGACATGCCCAGGCTTGTTTGTCTCACTTTCAGTTTTGCCATCGCCGCGAGTTGTTTCGGTGCGGGTATGGTTATTTAAAAATATAAAGTTTGATGCCAACCGGCGTTTCTCAGTGGATATATAATTCATGTGAATTATAATTAGAAAGTATCTATTTAGCCAAGGAAAAAGCAAAGCAGTATACTTAAACCAGCACTTCCAGCAGATATTGACCTGGGTTTTCGCACGACTATTCCTGTTTAATCGTTTCTTTTTAGGAAATTCTTACCACCATATACATATGTATTATTTACACTAGTAACTATTTATGTAAATACGTTTGTATTTTTTATGCTTAATATATGCAAATTAAAGAAGTAAAGGGTGGGCTTTCCAAAACGGAACCAATCGAAATTTCAGCGAAAGTATAAGGAATTTCGTCATGAAACTTGGTGAGGATGTTGGGGGAGGCCTCCTCAACATGAATTATTCACTCTCACAATATAATTGCTAATAGTATTTTAGCAATTTGCTGTTAAATAATGTCCACTATCACCCCCTAATTTTTTTAAAATATGCCACTTATCACTTATATTTTGTGTTACATATTCTATTTTCAATGCTCA